GATGGGGTGACTGGGATAGCTTGGCCTGGACACATGGGGTGCATGGAGGAGCAGGAGAAGGAGGAAGGGGGGGAAGAGAGGAAAGGAGGCCATGAAGAAGCTTGGAGGAGACCATACTGCGAAGAAGGGGAAAATTGGGGTGGCCAAGTCAATGATGGAGGAGGAGGGTAGGTTGAGTGAGAGAACGACAGCCGCAAGAAGGAACAGGAGGGGCGGACGAGGGTGCGACAGCGGCGGCAGTAGGAGGGCAGCTGCGGAGGTTGAGCTCTGCCTGGAGGAGGAAGGCAGAGACACGAGAGAACGACCACTGGTCGGCGGGGCGCTCACCATACAGGGTGACATGAACACTGTATTCAGGAGTGAGGCCTGTGAGGAGGAGGGCACCGCAGACATGATCGGAAAGTTCAAACTTTTGAGCAGAAAGTTGGGAGGACAGCGTCTGCACACGAGCGATATAGTCCGCCATGGTGGTGAAGTCAGCAAGGCGAAGAGAAGTGAGCTCGCGTAAGAGGGCAATGACACTGATGGGAGTCTGCGACTGGAAGCGCTCAGTAAGATAGCCGAGAAGGTCCTTGGCATAGCGGATGTGCGAGCACTGAGGGAGAAGGGTTGGAGGTAGGCAGGCGAGGATGACCTGGCAGGCACGTACGTTGGCAACATGCCAGTCAGCGAGAAGGTCAGAGTGAGATGGAGCAGAAGCAGAGGGCAGAGGGGCAGAGCGAGGAGAAGGGGTAGCGAGATGCTCAGAGAGGCGCTTGCGGGTGCTCTCGAGGGATTCAGAAAGAACACGAGCGAGGTCACGGGCAGCAGCATTGTCAGGAGCAGCCGCGGCAGTGGTTTGGGCCGTGGCCGCAATCCGCTCAGTTTCAGCGATAGCAGCACGAAGGCCATCAGCATAGGGATCGGAGGAGGTAGAGGTAGGTGTAGAGGCAGGTTTAGGAATGGCGCCAGAGCCACTCTGCTGAGTGACAAACCAGAGGTTAAAGCCACTCACGAGGGTGCCAGACAGCGTGCGCTCAAGACAGTTCAGCCAACTGGGGAAGTTGACTGCGCTGCCATCAGGCGCGAGCTGAAGGACCAGCAGAGGGAGGGAGGGGAGGGCGAGAGAAGTCGCCATAAGGAGGAGGAGACAGCTGCAGAGCAGATGAGGGGAGAGGTATAAGAGGCGGAGGAATAAGGGGCGAAGCAGTCTGCTGCTGAGCCGCTGAGGGGAGAAAACAAGAGGAGGAGGGATATGGACGGAGTAGTCTGCTGCTGAGCCGCTGAGGGGAGAAACAAGAGGAGGAGGAATAGTGGGGGAGTAGTCTGCTGCTGCGCCGCTGAGGGGAGAAACTAGAGGAGGAGGGATAGTGGCGAGGTAGTCTGCTGCTGCGCCGCTGAGGGGAGAAACTAGAGGAGGAGGGATAGTGGCGAGGTAGTCTGCTGCTGGGCCGGTGAAGGGAGAAATAAGAGGAGGAGGGAGAGTTGTGAGGGAGTTCGCAGTTGAGCAGTTGAGGGGAGGGTAGTGAGGAGGAGGAAAGGTGGGGAGGAGTACCAACTTAAAAAAAAAAAACGCAATCAACACCAGCTGCAGCAGATGAGGAGAGAAAAGAGGTGGAGGAAAACGGGTGAGATAGTGAGGGATGCACAAAGGAGAGAGGAAAGGAGGAGGAGGGTAAGGGAGGGAGGGCGGATTGTGAAAGGGCAGGGCGCGCCGCAGGGGAGGCAGGCGCGCACGCTGCTCGACGAAGCGAAGCGCGCGCTGCGACGGCAGCACAATGCGCACGCGACGAGACGGGAGAAGGCGCGGGGGGGGGGGGGGGGGGGGGGGGGGGGGGGGGGGGGCTAAGCGCGCTACAAGCAGAAATCGGCGCGCTACCGCCGGGAACGTGAAGAGGAAGAGGCGCGACGAAGAGGGAAGGCGCGGGGGAGCGATATGAACGGGAGGGAGGCGCGCTACGGAGCGGAATTGAGTATCCGCGTGACTAAAGTGAAGAAAATCGCGAGGATACTAAGAGTGACTGTAAAGAAACGAGAAAATAAAAAAAAAGGAAAATCGTCTAGCTAAGTAGCGCGGAAATGGCCTAAGGGCCAGAAACTTTCTAAGAGATGCGGATAAAACGGAAACGCCTAGGACTAGGCTCTGAATACCATGTTAAAGTAAGGAAAGCCATGGATGGCGAGAGGCTTTGGTGAGGTTGAAGAAGTTGAACTAGGAGGAGAATGTCGAGATACAAAAGAGAGAGGGTTGGAAACCCTAATTGAACCTAGGGTGTGTTCGGTTTGTTCTAACAATTATGAAATGAACCTAAAATGAACCTGAGTGCGTAACTCGCTCTAAGCCCAGAGAAATAACAATATAAGAACACCAAAATAAAGGCCAGAGCGAGCTCTAGCCTACTCCAACATTCGCTCCCACCCTGAAGATGACTACTCTTCGGGTGTTACTTCACGTAGCGGCGCAGAGGGACTACGAGCTACACTCCCTCGACTTCTCCACTGCCTTCTTGCAGGGCAGCCTACACGAGGAGATCTGGCTGCGTCGTCCTCCGGACTTCACTGGTACCTTCCTGCCTGGGACCCAGTGGAGCCTAAGACGACCGGTCTACGGTCTCCGCCAGGCACCCCGTGAGTGGCACGATACTCCCCGCTCTACTGTGTCATGCGGAGATACACTCTACAACAGTAGTGAGCTAGACTACGGAGATTGGCACGAACTACTAGGAGTGATCGTAGCTTTGCCTAGTTCCTTAGTGATTGCACATTCACGGGAGAAATCGGCAAGAGTTTCCACTAGCAAAGTTCAGAATACAGAATGATTGATCAAGCAATGTCAGAATGACTACATCAGGCACCTAGCAACCCTGCAGCTGGCCTGGTCGACCGCCAGCACTGCATGGTCGACCGCGCGCCAGTGTTGCGTAGAGGAGCCGCGCCAGCACTGCAGAAAGGCGACCTGCCAACGCAGCAGGTCGACGCCGTGCCAACGCTGCAGCAGAGCGGCTGTCCAGCGTTGCCCGGTAGAACACAGCAGTGCGCACGCTCGTAGGTGCGCGTAGACGATAGGCCCGACTTGCCTCGTTGGGCATCTTCGACTGTTGTCTGCGCCTGACGAGCCATCGACTTCGGGATACCAACTCGAAGTCGCCTTCGCCATCGCGCCCTCGACGACGTTTGTGTGCCTCCGCAGAACTCGTCGTACATGTTACCTGGTCGACCTGGACACCACCAGGTGCTTCCGGTCGACCACCACTGCCTCTGGTCGACCACCAGGTCCCTCTGGTCAACCACCAGGTGCCCCTGGTCGACCACAGCTACCCCCTGGTCGACGGACCCCTTTCCGTCGACCAGAACCATCAGCGATTGTCGCCGAGATCCCCTCGTCGACCGCTGCACCCTTGTCAGGTCGACGGCTGCTCCGTCTGTTGGTGCAACCTACGGTTTGCACTCGGCTTGTTGTCCGTGTGCGTGTGCGTGCATGCGTGTGTGCATGGAGTGGTATGAGTGCATGAAATAAATATATATTTCATTCTTATAATGGTGTGTGAATAATGGGTCATGATGTCGAGTGTGTGTGTCAAGTCAATAGCGAATTATCGCTAGTCGCGTATAACGCGGTCATTTTGTGTGTCCCGCGCGGTTTCTATTTTGTCGTGCGCGGTTTCTATTTTGTCGCTTGTCGAACGTTCGGCGTGTCGCAGGTGTGTGCAACAGACCCATTAAGAACTCAAGGATGAGTTTTGTGATGAAGAACCCGAGCCTTGGTTCAAGCTTCAAGTGTTTTTTCGAAGCTCGCCAAAAGGCTACACCTCAAGATATTGAAGATAGTTACATTGCTAAGTGTAGTGTAACATTTCAGTTGGTGTAGGCCCTTGTGAAGGGTAATTTCGAGACCCTTCTTGGTTGGGGACAGTGTGGTACTGTTCCCCATCACTGTACCTCGGCTCTTGGGGTTTGTATGAGCTGGGAGTCCTTCCCAACTCGTAACTCTTCCTAGCTGTGTCAAACATTATACATGTTGTATTTGTGTAGGCTGTAGTGGGTTAGCCTATAGGGGGGTCACAACATTAGGGTTTTATATTTGTACTCACAATCCTTGCTAGTCCATCATTCCAGTTCACTCTCGTTGACATGGTTTCAGAGCAGGTCCTTCGCTAGGACCGTTTTTTAAAGGCCCACCGTTCCCTACCTACCTACCTACCTACCTACCTAGGGCGCCTCGAATTTTTTTTAACGGCCCCTACATCCCGCGACCCGCGACCCGCCCCTTAAGGCCCCGTCGCGCCGCCCCTTAGCCGCTCGCGCGCGGTCGTTTTCATAAGTGCGCCCCGCCAGCTGCCCGCGCGCGCCTTACTTCCCTCGCGCGCGGCCCGTCGCCTGCTCGCGCACGCCCCGCAGCCGCCCGTCGCCTGCTCGCGCACGCCCCGCAGCCGCCCGTCGCCTGCTCGCGCACGCCCCGCAGCCGCTCGTCGCCTGCTCGCGCACGCCCCGCAGCCGCCCGTCGCCTGCTCGCGCACGCCCCGCGGGCCCGCAGCCCGCCGTCGCAGCGGCCGCCCGCCCGCAGCCGCCCGTCGCCTGCTCGCGCACGCCCCGCTGCCCGCAGCCGCTCGTACGCCGCTGCTTCCGCTGCTGCTTGCGCACCGCTGCCTCCCGAGCGCCGCCGCTGCCTGTGCGCCGCCGCTGCCCGTGCGCCGTCGCTGCCCCTACGCTGCCGCTGCCCGTGCGCCGCTGCCGCCCGTGCGCTTCTGCAACCGCCGCCCGCGAGGCATTCGCTCTCACTGTTGTTTATTTTCTACCTACCGCGCACACTACTGCCACTGCAGCTGCCACCAGTGCGCCGTTGCAGCTCCTGCTGCCACGCTACCTACTACTGCCGCTCGTGTGCCACTACGGACAGTCGACCCCGCCCGCGCCTTGCCTAGCGGCCCCGCCGGCCTCGTTGACCCTCCGCACACCTTTCCAGCGGCCTGATTCCTACTACTACTGTTACTACTGCTACTACTGCTACTGCTACTGTCACTATGGCTAGTCCTCCCGTTCTAGCTTTCGATGCCGAGGGCCGTCCAGTGAAGTTCGAAACCTGGCTAGATGACCTGCACCTGTTCCTACAGCTCACTGCCAAGGAAGATATCTCACTGTACGACCACGCCCTAGGCCATGCCACTGCCCCTGACTCCTCTGCTGACAGCACTCTGCGTTCCCAGTGGCAGACCCGTGATGCGCACGCTCGCTTTGCTATACGCAACTCCCTGCCGCTAGACGAGCGCGAGCACTTCGGCCAGTGCAAGACTGCTAAGGACCTCTACACAGCTGTAGTTGCCCGCTACTCCTCACCCGCTTCTGCCACGCTAGGCCGCCTCACTCTCCCCTACCTGTTCCCCGACATAGCCTCCTTTCACACTGTCGCAGACCTCATCACCCACCTTAAGACCAGTGAGGCCCGCTTTCGCGCTGCTATGCCTGCCGAGTTTCTCACTAGCGACCCCCCCCCGCTCTGGATCACTCTCTACCACATCGTCACCCGGCTCCCTGACTCTCTGCGCGCAGTCAGGGACCACTTCCTCTCTCGCTCCCCCACTGAGCTCACTGTTGCCCTCCTCGAGAAGGAACTGCTTGCAGCTGAGGCGAGCATCGTCGCTGTAGGCACCTCTCGTGGTGACCCCCGCACCCCGTTCTTTGAGGGGTGTTCCCCTTCCCCCCTCCTCCCCTCTGTCGCCTCTGCTGCTGCTGTCGACCTCCTTGGTGCTGAGAAGGTCGGGACCGCGTCTGCTTCGAGCGGGCGCCGCAGGAACAAGGGGGACAGGGGTGGGGGTGGTGGCGGAGGAGGTGGGGGTGGAGGCGGTGGGAGTGGAGGCGCGGCTGAGGAGGCCAGTGGTGGCACTGGGGGAGGAGACAGCAGCGGCGGGAGTGGTGGCAGGGGCGGAGGCGGCAGCGGGGGCGGAGGTGGTCGTGGCGGCGGCAGGGGTGGAGGTGGCCGGGGCGGCGGCGGTGGGGGTGGTGGTCGTGGAGGCACTGGCGGAGGGCAGAGTCAGCAGCCCACCCCGACGCTTCAGGCCGCCCGTGAGTGGTATGCACAGCGTGGCTTTACCTGCACGTACGTCATTCGCACAGGTGACCGCAGCGGCCAGCAGTGTGGGAGGCCGCACCCCACGCAGCGCTGCTTCGCGCGCCTTAGCGACGCGTGGCGCACCCAGTTTCCTAGTGCCACTGAGCTGCCGCGCTGGGCTGAGCTGGAAAAGAGGGGAGTTGATATTTGGGCTCTAGACTTTGATGCTATTCTCACTGCCATGTATGCGATGTCTATTAGTGGAGAGGGTGCTCAGTAATTGCGTGTTCCGCCCGACCCGGGCATTCAGGCCAGTCCGGCTGCCGCTCTAGGTGCTAGTGCGTCCGCTCCCACAGGTCCTGGTGAAGCTGCTGCCCTAGGTGCTAGTGCGTCCGTGCCCCCTGGTACTGAGTCGACTACAGCACTGCACACCTTCACACTGGACTCAGGTGCTTCTCGCTCCTTCTTTCGTGACCGCACTGTCCTTGAGCCACTCGCTCGGCCGGTTGCTGTCTCTCTTGCTGACCCCTCTGGGGGTCCGGTCATTGCGACCTCCTCCACTGTCCTTCCTTGTCCTGCGGTCCCGTCCGGCACGCTGTCAGGTCTCTACCTCCCCTCGTTCTCCACGAACTTGGTGGCAGGCCGAGAGCTCCAGGACGGGGGTGTTCACCAGTTCACCCCTGCCTACGAGCGCGTGACACACTGCACGTGTGCACGGACGGGTCGCCACCTGGCTACCTTCACTCGAGAGCCTGGGTCGGACCTGTACACACTGACCACTGAGTCCCCTCAGGTAGCTGCGTCTGCGTCTGCGTCAGGTCAGCTGTCCGCACCCTGCTCGTGTCGCTCTCTGGCGCATGAGACTGTCCTTTGGCACCACCGCCTTGGTCACCCGTCGGTGCAGCGCCTTCTGGCCATGCACAAACGGGACCTTGTTGCTGGTCTTCCCAGGGTTCTCCCTCCCCTCCCACCCTCGCCTGCTCCTCCCTGTCTTCCCTGTGTCGAGGGGCGGTAGCGCGCCGCTCCTCACTCCTCCTCCTTTCCCCCGACAACTGCTCCTTTGCAGACGCTCCACATGGACGTGTGGGGCCCAGCCCGCGTCCGTGGTCAGGGTCAGGAGAGGTACTTCCTGATTGTTGTTGATGACTTCTCGCGCTACACCACGGTCTTCCCCTTGCACACCAAGGGTGACGTCCCTGATGTCTTGATCCCTTGGATCCGCAGATCTCGTCTCCAGCTCAGTGAGCGTTTCCGCTCCGACTTCCCTGTCCTGCGTCTGTACTCTGACAGAGGTGGGGAGTTTTCCTCTGGCCTCTTGGAGGCCTTTTGTCAGCAGGAGGGCATTGAGCAGTCGTTCACGCTTCCGGCCTCTCCACAGCAGAATGGGGTTGCTGAGCGCCGCATTGGCTTAGTCATGGAGGTCGCTTGTACCTCCTTGGTTCATGCGGCTGCCCCCCATTTTCTGTGGCCGTTTGCAGTCCGATACGCTGCGCATCAGCTCAACCTCTGGCCCCGTGTCTCCTTACCGGAGACTTCTCCGACACTGCGTTGGATGGGAGAGGCTGGCGATGCGTCGCGTTTTCGGGTCTGGGGATCCCGAGCTTTTGTCCGCGACACGTCCGCGGACAAGCTCTCCCGTCGCGCTGTCCCCTTCGTCTTCCTTGGCTTTGTCCCGGACGCCCCTGGCTGGCAGTTCTACCACCCAACCTCGCGTCGTGTCCTGGCCTCTCAGGACGTCACTTTTGACGAGTCCGTCCCCTACTACCGCCTCTTCCCCTACCGCACTGCCCCGCTCCCCCCCCCGCCTCTCTTCCTCGCTCCAGGTGCTGAGGTACCAGACCCCCTCCCCCCTCAGGGTGCCGCTCCCTCAGGTGTGTCCCAGGTAGACCCGGGTGAGCCTGTCGAGGTAGCTGTTGACTCTCGTCCTGCTAGGGGTGCTGAGCCTGGGGGTGCTGCGTCTGGGGGTGATGAGCCTGGGGGTGCTGCGTCTGGGGGTGCTGAGCCTGGGAGTGCGGAGCCTGGGGGTGCGGAGCCTGGGGGTGCTGAGCCTGGAGGTGCGGAGCCTGGAGGTGCGGAGCCTGGAGGTGCTGAGCCTGGGGGTGCTGAGTCTGGGGGTGCTGAGTCTAGGGGTGCTGAGCCTGAGCGTGCTGCACCTGGAGGAGCCCTCTCCTCCCAGCAGCTGCAGGAGAGGTACCTCGAGTACTGCCGCCTCCGGAGAGGTGCTGCTGGAGCTCTTCCCGGTACTTCCCCTCCTACCCAGGAGCTCCCCCCCATTCAGCAGATCCGCGAGTGGTACACACGGCGCTGCAGTCTTCGGAGTGGTGCTCCTGGTGCTGAAGACCCTGGGGGTGGCGCTGCTGCTGGTACTGAGGACCCGGGCGTTGGAGCTGCTGCTGGTGCTGAGGCCCTGGGCGGTGGCGCTGCTGTTGGTGCTGAGGACCCGGGCGGTGGAGCTGCTGCTGGTGCTGAGGACTCGGACGTTGGAGCTGCTGCTGGAGCTGAGGACCCGGGCGGTGGCGCTGCTGCTGGTGCTGAGGACCCGGACGGTGGAGCTGCTGCTGGTGCTGAGGACTCGGACGGTGGAGCTGCTGCTGGAGCTGAGGACCCGGCCGGTGGAGCTGCTGCTGGTGCTGTGGACCCGGACGCTGGAGCTCCTACTGGTACTGAGGACCCGGCCGCTGGAGTCTCCTCTGCTTCTGGAGACGCTGCGCGGCCGCGACCGTACTTCGTACCACTCCTTCAGCAGGTTCTTGGGCAGGCTCCTCCTCCTTGTCCTCCTCCCTCCGTAGAGTGTCCTCCGCCTGTCCAGCCGCAGTCACAGTTACCGCCTACCTCGCCTCTCCCTGCTCCCTCTCCTTACACTGGTCCCACAGGAGGTCTTACAGAGCGTCGTGAGCCTGAGTCTCGTCCTGCGTCGCCTGTTCGTCCTGCTCGCATTGGTAGTCGTGTCCGTCGTGAGCGTCCTCCTCCTGTCCCAGGCACTCACTACATGACTCTGCGTCCCTCTACTGCTCCTCAGCGTGTCTCGCTACCGTCTCCTCCTGCGTCCTCTTTGCCTGACGTTCCGGACCCTGAGTCTGACCGGTATCGTACTGAGCACCCTACTGTCACGCGTCTCCTCGCTACTGTTGTCACTGACCCTACCTTTGAGTCCTCGGCTGTGTCTGCTCTGATCGCTGAGTTGGTTGACTTTGCTGCTGCCTGTTGTCTAGACTACGCTGCTAGCCTTGTTGCTGAGTCTGAGTCTGAGTCTGTCTGTCCTCCGTCCGTCGGGGGTGAGTGTGCTCTTGGCACGGACGTCCTTGAGGACAGACAGGAGGAGTTCCAGTGTCTTGCTGCTGCTTTGCCCCGTCTCGTGTCCTTGCTAGTTGCCCCTGAGGGAGACCCGGATGCACCAGACATCCCGACCCCGCGCACTTACGCTGAGGCGATGGCGGGTCCCTACTCCTCTCAGTGGCAGACAGCCATGGACGCCGAGATGGCTTCCTGGAAGTCCACACGCACCTACGTCGACGAGGTTCCCCCTCCTGGGGCGAACATCGTCAGTGGCATGTGGATTTTCAGGGTGAAGCGGCCGCCGGGTTCTCCGCCTGTCTTCAAGGCGCGTTACGTGGCTCGAGGCTTCAGTCAGCGAGAGGGAGTTGACTTCTTCCAGACCTTCTCCCCCACCCCGAAGATGACCACTCTTCGGGTGCTGCTGCACATAGCCGCTCACCGCGACTACGAGCTTCACTCACTTGACTTCAGCACTGCTTTCTTGCAGGGCAGCCTGCACGAGGAGATCTGGCTGCGCCGCCCACCTGGCTTCACTGGGTCGTTTCCTCCTGGTACCCAGTGGAGGCTTCAGCGGCCGGTCTACGGTCTCCGCCAGGCTCCGCGTGAGTGGCACGACACACTGAGGACTACACTTGCGGCTCTTGGGTTCGCGCCTTCTACAGCTGACCCGTCGCTGTTCCTGCGCACCGACACTTCGCTGCCGCCGTTCTACATCCTCGTGTACGTCGACGACTTGGTCTTTGCCACTGCTGACACTGCAGGACTCGCCTACGTGAAGTCGGAGCTGCAGAGGAGACACACGTGCACAGACCTGGGTGAGCTGACAAGCTATCTTGGCTTGCGGATCACCCAGGACAGAGCACGGCGCACCATCACCCTGACTTAGTCACACATGGTGCAGCAGGTTCTCCAGCGCTTCCGCTTCACGTACTCCTCGCCTCAGTCCACTCCTCTGCCTACCGGTCACTCGCTCTCAGCTCTGCCTTCGGATGAGTCCGTAGAGCCGAGTGGCCCGTATCCAGAGCTTGTGGGCTGCCTCATGTACCTGATGACCTGCACTCGACCTGACCTTGCATACCCTCTTAGCATCCTTGCACGCTATGTCGCTCCTGGCCGTCACAGGAAGGAGCACATGGATGCCGCTAAGAGGGTGTTGCGCTACTTGTGCAGTACGTCGGGCATGGGGCTTGTGCTTGGAGGGCGAGACCGAGTTGTTCTCACAGGGCACTCAGACGCTTCTTGGGCAGACGACCAGGCCACTCAGCGGTCGTCTCAGGGTTACACCTTCAGCCTTGGCTCTGGCTCAGTTTCTTGGCGCTCTACACGCTCTTCTTCTGTTCTCGGCTCCAGTTGCGAGGCTGAGATCTACGCTACAGCCATGGCTGCCCAGGAGCTACGCTGGCTGACCTACCTGCTGACCGACCTCGGAGAGCGGCCTCGTTCTCCTCCAGTGCTGTACGTCGACAACAAGGCTGCCATTGCCTTGTGTGAGGAGCACAGACTGGAGCACAGAACGAAGCACATCGCCCTGCGGTACTTCCTTGCTCGAGAGCTGCAGCAGCGCGGTCAGCTTTGTATTCGCTACGTGGCCATCGAGGCCAACACTGCTAATGTGTTCACCAAGGCGCTTCAGCCTCGTGACCATCAGCGCTTCTGCACTCTACTAGGCCTTGTGCCTACTGGACCTCACTTGCTTACCTCTTGACTTTGCTTGTACTGTGATCACTATATATATCTATACCTGCATGTTTACTCTTGCTAGGTTGTGATCACTGTATCTCTTGCTCTGTTATAAACTTGCATGTGAACTGGTCTTGTGACCACTAGCTTGTGCTCGGAATTTGTGTGGAATCCTTGAGATCCACCCTGAGCTTGTTGTTGCCTTGCTTTGCCTTGACTGGTCTTGTGACCCCTAGGTCTCCCCCACTTTGCCTATGGGGGTGTGTCAAACATTATACATGTTGTATTTGTGTAGGCTGTAGTGGGTTAGCCTATAGGGGGGTCACAACATTAGAGTTTTATATTTGTACTCACAATCCTTGCTAGTCCATCATTCCAGTTCACTCTCGTTGACAAGCTGTTCGTAATTGTGTGTGTTCTAAGACTATGTTGCTGCCATAGTGCCGTTCGTTCAAACTGACGCAGTGTCGTCAATTCTTGATGAAATCGTGCGATTTGATCGTTTAAAGCTGCTGTGCAGAAATCCGACAGTGCACTCTATCTTTGGTTCTAGGCACATTGAAGCCTATTGAAGCCTATTGTAACTATAACATCGTCGACCTCCCCGGTCGAATAGTAGGTCGACCAGCAGCTCCGTCGACCTCTCGGTCGAGCTGCAGGTGGACGGGATGCTCTGTGGACCTCCCGGTCGAGCTGCAGGTCGATGGGATGCTCCACAGGCCTTCCGGTCGAACTGCCCCGCCTGATTAACGGCCCACCCGTCACCCAGACTAGTCAGTTGAAGCTATCGAGCTTTCTGGTCGACAGCAACACCACAGCGGTCCCCTGCAGCTCGACGAAGCGTGTCAAGCAGCTCTCCCGCTGTGAACGGTCGGCTGCTACTCCCGTACATCCGACCAAGTCGTCGGCGTTGCCCAAGCGAGGGCGGGGCCAACACTCCACTCCCGTTAACACTCCCCTGCCGCGCTCACGCTTGGGCCTCCAGCCCACACGGCAGTACTCCACAGAGAGAACTCGTCCTCGGCGTTGCGGAGAATTCTATCCTATGGGGAGGATGGCGTGAGGGCGCGAGGGGTAGAATTCTGAGTGTTGCTCTTGACAGAGTTACTTGTTGACTTAGGAGAATTCAAGCATAGCTTTCACTAAGAAAAAGAGTTGAACAAGAAACAAGTATGGTACAACAAGAGAACCATATACTAGAACAAAGAACCCTGCAGAACGTTCCTAGTGGAACGTTGAACTATTTACCATGCATGTGGTTTGCCAACTCAGCAATGGCAGGTGAAACCACAAGTCTACCTAATTTGGTAGTTGTCCAGGTTGTTCATGCAGAGTTATGCACGTTTTTGTAGTTACAAAAACGTGTAGCAGGTTCTTTTCTGTGGCAGGTTCAATTTCTCCTGGCGGGTACAATTTCCGTCAGAATCTGATTGGTCGAAATTTCCCTGCGCTCCCATTGGTCGAAATTCGCGCACATTTGAATTTCTCGCAAAATTCATCTGTGCGTTCGCGTGGGTGCGCAGGGGTTACCGCGACCCTGCGCACATGAACTTCAGCGACCCTCTGCACCAGCTGCGCCCTTTGCACCTGTGCACAAGGTATTGCTGCTGCACCTGCGAAGTGTACAGTACCTCGTGCACAGGTGCCTCGGCACTTTCCTGTGCACAGGTACTGCACATCCGTGCAGATCCTCGGAACAGCACCTGCGGAAGCCACAAATTCGCCCATGCACCTGCAGGGCTCATCTCAACAGGCGTGCACCCCACACATAGCACGCCGTCACCGCACCAGCCATGTAGAAGGGCACGGCACCTACTGCTGCACCTCGTCGTCGCCGTCGCTGACGTCGGCCAGACGAACTTGGCCGATGGCGACAGAGCACCGGTTGAAAGCCGGAAAATGCAGCGCCTTCGTCAGGAAATTGGCTAGCTGCTCGGTGGTCGGGATGTACTTCAGCACAAACTTCCCGCGCCTCACCATGTGCTGCAGCCAGGCGTAGCGTCGCTCCATGTGCTTGAGGTCACCCGTCAACCCCATGCCTTCAGCGACCGTAATCGCCGACTTGTTGTCGACGCGGAGGATGGTCGGCTTCCCAGCTTCGAGCAGCTTGAACTCTGCAAGGAGGAAGCGAAGTCGACACCCCTCCTTGCCGGCGTCCGTGGCCGCGACGTACTCCGACTCGGTCGAGGAGAGCGTCGCGCACTTGATGCGCTGGCTCGACCAGGAGACCGCAGCCCCTCCAAAGATGAACACATAGCCGCCTGTGCTCGTCCGCTTCTGCTTGTCGCCCGCGTCATCGGCGTCCACGTAGCCGATCAGCTCCAGCGACTCTGGCCCACCGCCAAACTCCAGGGCGGTGTCGCGGGTGTCGGCGATGTAGGCGAGGCAGCGGTCGACCTCGCGCCAATGCTGGTCGCTCCTCACCGTGAGGCTGCTCCCCAGCTTGCTGCAGGCAAACGCGATGTCCGGCCTCGTCGTCGTCGCCGCGAACTGCAGCGATTTGACCTTTTGCCGGTACTCCTCCTCCTCGCGCTCCTGCGCCTCTCATCGTCGAATGTCAGCTCGGCATAGGCATCGACCGAGACCGGCGTCTTCGGGATTCGACCGCCCTGCTCCTCATCGATGAAGCGCCTACGCAGCTTGTCGGGGTAGTTCTGTTGGTGCAGCCACAGCTTTCTCGTCGGCCTGTCGCGCACGATGTCCAGCCCGAGATACTTGACGACCTGCGAAATCTCCCGCAGCTCAAAGGCGGCCTCCAGCAGCTCCTTCAGCTCCTTCAGCATCGCAGTGCTGCTGCTGGCGGCGAGCAGGTCGTCGACGTAGACCAGCACCCAGCAGGTCACTCCGTCATCGCCGGTCTTGAAGTAGAGCGCCGTGTCGACCTGGCTCTTCTTCCACCCAGCCCCAAGCAGCACTCCGTCAAGAGCCCTATACCACAGTAGTGGTGACTGCTTCAGCCCGTAAAGGCTCTTTATCAGCTTGCATACCCGGCCGGTCCCATCGTCGAAGCTGTCCGGCTGGTACATGTAGAGCACCTTGTCGAGCTTGCTCTGCAAGAAAGGTTGTTCATGTCGAGCTGCATCAGGTTGAGGTCGAGGACAGCGACGATGCTGAGGAAGATCCTCAGCGTGACGTAGCTGCTCATCGGCGAGTACGTCTCGTCGTAGTCAGCGCCGTACACCTGTGTGAAGCCCTTCACGACCAGCCTCGCCTTCTCGCGCTCGATGGTGTCGTCGATGAGGTACTTGGTCGTCAGCACTTACCGGTTCTTCATGATGTTCACTCCGCTTGGGCATTCGACCAGCTCTCACGTGCCCATGCCGATGAGGCTGCGAATCTCTTCTTCCATGGCGGCCTTCACCGCATTGCCCTTCCAGCTCACGAGCGCATCCTTCACCGTCATCGTGGCGATGTCCCAGCGGTGTTCGGGGTCGGCATGCACATCGAGATCGAGCTCCGGTAGTTCTTCATCCTCCTCGGCGTCGTCGTACAGCTGGTCGTCGTCGACCTCGTCGAAGGCAGCTGGCGGTAGGCAGGTGTGGAAGCTCAGCCGCTCCGGCGGCCGTCGAGCTCGACCGGTGCGTCGCAGCTCAGGCTTCTCGATCGTAACCTCCACCACATCGCTGTCGGTGGACTCCTCACCCGTCAACTTCTCCCCTTCCTCGTTGACATCTTCGTCGTCGACCAGCTGCTTCGACCCATCGACCGGCTGCTCGCCTGCTGCAGACTTCGATAGCTCCCCTGTCGACTGTCCCCCTGCTGGTGCCTCCTGTTCGACCGGCTCCCATGTCTGCTGCTCCCCTATCGTCGACGGCTTTCGATGCTCATCGACGAGCTTGGCGCCTTGTCGACCGCCTGCGATGCCACTGGCCGGCGCCACAGTCGACGCCTCAAGGCTCCCCTCATCGCTGGTGGTCGACACAGGTGTCGACGCAGGCCGATCTGCGACGGGGGAGGGAGGAGCAAGAGCAAAGGTGGGTGGAGGAACCTCCACAACATCCTCATCAGCAGGCTGATCGACTTCGGCGAGCAGCGGGACTGTCGCCGTCGAGGTGTCCGTCGACCGTTGTGCCTGCAGCCGCTTCGACGCAGACCCATACTTCATCTTCAACACCTCCAGCGACAGCGTCTCGTAAAAGATCACGTCGACCAACGTGACCACTTTGTTGGCGGTCAGGTCGAGCACCTCCCAACCCTTGCTCTCCGGCGACACGCCGAGGTGAAGCTCCCAGCAAGCCTTCGGTGCCAGCTTCCCACCGCACTGCTGCTCGGGAACCATGAACTGCACCATGCAGCCCCACACCCGCGCCAGCGTAAGGTCGGGCTTTTTCCCAGTCAGCAGCTGGTACGGAGTCGTCCCCGGCGGCGTCGTCGACCGCTCCAAGCAGTTGCGCACCCAGACAGCCTGTCGAAGAGCGAGATGCCACCAGTGGTGCTGCACGCCCATGAGCAGCAGCATCGTCCGCACGGACTCGACGACCGTGCGCCTCTCCCGCTCAGCCATGCCGTGCTGCTGCGGAGTGTAGGGGCACGTCAGATCGTGGACGAAGGTGGTGAAATCCTGTCCGAGGAACTCCCCTCCCTGATCAGAGCGGAGCGATAGTACCGACTTTTGCGTCTGCCGTTCCACCAGCACCAGCCACTTCTGAAACTCCCGCAGCACGTCGCTCTTCTTTTTGACCGGCATTGCTCACACGAATCGAGTGTGGCGATCCTTCAGCAGCAGGAAGTACAAGCTGCCATCCTTGGCAGCCACTCGAAATGGACCGCACAAGTCAATGTGCACGACACCCAGTGCCTCCTCGGCGTCCGAGCCCTGGTCGGGGAAGGTGTGCCGCGCCAGCTTTCCTCCGACACACGAGACACACGACGGGTCTACTTTGGTCGACGGCGTGATGTCGAGCCCAGTAGCAACCTCATGCTTCGACGAGCTCTTATCGTGTTGATGCCGACGTGCGCGAGCCTCGCGTGCAGCCGGGTCGGGAGTCACCTTCGTCGCCGAGACGATCGTCCGTAGAGCCACCA